TGGAATATTGTTTCCCATCCTTTGATTTTCAGCCTATTAATTTCTTTTTGAATTAAATGTGTTTCTTGTATACAGCACATTGTTGGATTTTGTTTCTTCACTCTGCTAGTCTGCTTCTTTTGATTGGTGAGTTTAAGCCATTTATATTAATGGTTATAACTGATATGCACTGGCTTATCATTGCCATGTTATTTTCCTCTTGTAGTGTCTTTGGTTTTCCTATCTGTTCAATTTCTTGCTCTGCTTGCTGGTTCTCTTCTGTTGTTGTTTTTAAAGTTGCCATCATTTTTTGTCTTTTGCTAAAGTATCTGTCATGCATGGTCATATCCCCCTGAACACACCTGATCTCATCGAAAATATCTGTCAGTATTCTTTGTATGTTTGGTTTGTTTTCCATGAATTTCTTTGTAATGGAAGTATCTTATCTCTCTATTAAATTTCATAGATAGTTTTTCTGGGTACATCAGCCTGGGTTGGAAGTTGTTTTCTTTCAGGACCTGAAATAAATCACTCCAAGCTCTTCTTGATTGGATAGTCTGTGTTGAGAAACTCGCCATGATTCGGATGATCTTTCCATTATAGGGCATCTGTTTCTTCTAACAGCTTTTAATATTCTCTTGTTTTCCTGAATTTCTAGGATTTGGATTACTATATATCTGAGTGTAGATTTATTTTGATTATGGCTAATTAGAGTTCAATATACCTCACTTAATGTATGTCAGATTCTTTTCCTATGCTTGGAAAATTTTCTGCTGCAAACATTCTTTTTATGTAATTTGTGTTGACTCTAGCTGTTTCATGGATCCCTATTAGTTTTATATTATTTTTCTTTGCATCATCTTGCAGCTGTTACATTGTTATTTCCTAGTTCTTTGTTATTTTAAAGAGATCTTTTGGGGCTGGAGAGATAGCTCAGTAGATAAGTGCTTGTCTGGCAAGCACAAGGTCCTGAGTTCAATCGCTGGTACTGTAAAAAAACAAAAAAACAAAAAACAAAAAACAAAAAACACAAAACTTTCCTTTTGTGTTCAATAGCTACAACACTGTCTTCAAGGTCTGACCCAAAAGCTACAACTCTTGTTGCATAGGTCCTGCTTTACCTTGGTCTTAACCATCCAGCAGAAAAATATAAAAACAAAGTATAAGAAGTAAAGCCATGCTGTTATGTTGAGCTACAGGGGACTCAGGTCAACAATTTCTGACACTGCCAGTCAAGTGGAAGACCGAATACTATTATGGACTACTAGACTCTTTTAGAATATTTTTCTGAGTTAACACACCTATAATATTCAAATAACGGAACTTAACAAAAAAGGGGATACAGATGAATGTCCATTTTGTATCTGTGTATTCAAGATGGTTAGGATAGATATATAGTTGCATTCTCTTTATGAATAGAGGGATTTGTTCTAATAGTATTTGTAAATAGGATATCATGTCAGCATCTTGTACAGCAATTAACCACTAGGAAGAATGTATGCAATGTGTTAATTATTGAAACTGTCTTACCATTTTGTTTTGAAACTGTCTCATTGCTATTTGTTTCTCAATAAAATTATGGGGAAAATGGTCTGAAATTCTGTTTTAGTTTAATTCAAGCAGTTTTGCCAGCTTTCAATGGAATTCTTACTGTCCTGGATATCCATTTGAATCTGTTTCATGCATTCAAGTTCTTTCTTGTGTTGCTCATTCAATGTTTCCACCATTTTCCTATTTCTCCCCTGTTTTTTAAATCTATGTCCTCTTGAGATGTACTAAGAAATTCTTTCATGATTGTTGTCATTTCTTCTTTTTTTTACCTAAAAGATTATTTCTGATCTGATTTCCTGTATATCCTGATGGAGTTGTTTGCTTACTTCATTTGCTGTCATTTCTGAAATTTCAGTTCTGTGACTCCCAAATTCTTCTATGACCTTTCCTCCTCGGCTTTCCCTTTTACTCATTCCTTTTAGCATTCTCGAAGCTCCTAATGTTCACCCTGACTCAGCGGTGATGGTAGGGTAGTGGGGTGCAGGGGAGCAGGGCTCCTACAAGAGTGGGAGGCAGGAGAGGCTCCCCAATGCTCCCACTCTTCGGGGTTCAGCTCGGCTTTCACATCATTGCAGGGGCAGGCAACCTGCAGCTCAAGAAGGATCTGATGGCGACGTGGGCAGGAGAAAGCTCTGTAAGGCTCTCCGGATGGTGTGTGTGTGGGTGCACAGAGTCGTCTCCCCTGGGCTCCTGCTACTGGTGTGACAGGCAGCAGCAGCTCAGGAGAGCTGCAGTGACGGGGATAGTGGGGGAAGAGGCTGCGGCTCAGCCGAGCTCTGGTGGGGGAGGCAGCGCTCACCAGGTCCGTGAAGCTGTCTTACTGGCTAAAGACGCTGAGCAGTTTTCACATATGTGTTGGCCACTCGTAGTCTTTCCTTTGCAAAGTGCCTTTTCATTACCCATTTATTGACTTGTGTTCCTTGAGTACTTTATATACTCTAGATATTAATCTACTGTCAAAAGAGTAACTGGCAACTGCATACTTTCTCCTATTCCGTAGGGTGAGTTTTCACTCGCTGGTTGTTTTCCTTGTTGTGCGGAAAGGTTTTGATTTGATGCAGATGCATTTACTGATGCTTGCTCTTGTTTTCTGTGCTGTAGGAGTCCGATTTGGGAAACCTTTGTCCTATGCTTACTGCTTCAAGGGCGTTCCCTGTGTTTCCTTCTGCTGGTTTAAAGTTTCTGTGGCCAACCTAGGTCTCTGAACCATTCGGAATTGATTTTTAGACAGGGTGCAAGACTGAGATCTAGTGTTAGTCTTCTGCCAACAGACAGCGCCCAGGTCCCCAGATCCATGTTTTAAAGAGCCCGTGCTTTCTCCAGTGTGTTTTTGGCTCCTTTGTCAAGCATCCGATGGCTGCAGCTGGGTTTGCTTCTGTTCCTGCTGTCCGATGCCACGTGCCCGTGCGTCTTCTTGTTTAGCGCCAGTCGTGGCTGCTGTGTTGTAAGCAGCACAGTTGAAGCCAGATCTTGTGACGCCTCTGGGCTTGCTCTTTGGGCTCAGGATTGCTTTGGCTACTCTAGCTATCCTGTGTGTTCTTATGAACTACAGAGCTGTATTTTTTAGAATTCTAGAATGTAATTGGTATTTTAATGGGAACTGCATTGAATTCATAGGTCCTTCCTTTTTGGTAATATAGCAATTTTACAATATTAATTCAGCCAATAAGAGGTCTTTCTATCTCTTAGAATCTTGATTTAATTCTTTAGTGTTCAGAAATTTTTATGTTAGAGGTCACCTATCACTGTGGGTAGGCTGACCCTTAGGTTTTTTGTTTGTTTGTTTGTTTTTTTTTTTTTTTGGGAAATACTTGTGAATGGGATTGTTTCTAGTTTCTTTGTGGCCTAGCCCATCAATGGCATTTAGAGGAGCTATTAATTTTTAAAGTTGATTGCATATTCTGATAATTTTCCAAATTCTTCATCAGTTCTAAAAGTCTTTTGGTGGAGTCGTAAGGTCTCTTGAACCTGGGTTTTATCAGCTGTGAGCACGGTGGGTGGGCTCCTTCCTTTCCATGCCCCTTCTACTTCTTCCTGCTGTCCAACTGCTGTAACTGGACTTTGAACAACCATGGTGCACGGGAGTGGGGAGAGCAGGGCTCCTTGCAGGCTCCTGGGCTTAGAGGAAATAGCTGCATTTTCCTCCTCAGAAGGGCATTGCTTGTGCACAGCAAAGTGGGTTTGCAGCCTTCACTATTCTGAAAAATGAGCTTAAATACCTAGTTTCTTCAGGGTTTTTATATCTTTGAAAGTCATATTGAATTTTGTGTATGGCTTTCAAAACAGTTTTATTTTTTACTTTTTTATATTTATGGAAGGGTCTACAGGGTGTTCAGGGTCTCACTACTAGATTGGAATTGTAGTGATCCACTTGTTTACATCCTCCCAAGAGCTGGCATTATAGGCGTGTGACACCATACCCAGTTTCAACTGTCATCTCAGCACACCCCGGGGGTGGAACCTCTGGCTCCTGTGCCTGCTTGCAGGTGCTTTAATCCACTGAGCTATTTGGCTGGCCCTTCAGAATAGTTTTAATGTCTGGGAAATTTGGAGAAAGGGACAGAAGTTGTGTGTGGGGGTACCGATCAATGCTGAGGAAACGTCATTCCTGAGCACTGCCAGACAGCAGGACTAGGTTCATAGTATGGAAAATGCCTGGCACAGACAAGTATAGAAGCATCAAGCTAGGTGGGGTCCGGGGTGCCAAGGAGGAGTGCCTTCCCTGCGTAGCAGGAGCTCTGCTGCAGAGATTTAGTACAACATTCACAGTCATCACATCTGGGCGTCACGATTATATATTAGTGTGGCCTGGAAGTCAGACAAATCTGAGACCATGCAAAGAAATGCTGTGTGGACCACCCACAGGGCAGCAACGTCAGTAAACACATCACATGCTGTTATCTGTCACCAACCATGAGTATCACACGGTTCGTCTGATCTCAGATCCATCATTTAGTGTTTGTTTGCTATCAGATTGATCAGAGATCACCAAGAGTGGTACCCGAAAGATAGGCGCCCCAACCGCAGGCAGGGGCTGGTGAGCGTCCTCACGGCTCTCAGCTTATTAGCTCGCGTGTGCAGTGGATGGCATGGGCACCCTGGAGCGGAGGCGGCTCCTGCTCTCGACAGCCTCGATGCTCCCTCCTCCCCTCCCCATCCCCATCTCTCGATCCTTCCCCTGGGAGAAAGCTCCATCCCCTGCATCCTCATCTATCCTTTATTTTCCTCCTTATGGATACTTTAGGTTTCCCATACAAGAGAAACCATGTGGTATTTAAGCTTGCAAACCTGATTCATCCCACATAAATATGGTCTCTGATGAGTACGCAGAATATATGACTCAAACATGTTTGATACTCCTAAATAAAAGACCCAGTCAAATATGGTCAGGAAGAGATTTTACTGGTTGGGAAACTTAGGTGGGGGTGAGACACTTGTAGCATGCTAACAGTCTCTTTCTTCCCATCCAGCTGTGTGGGAAAGAACCAGAAGAGCAGGAAGGAGAATCGAGGTGTGAAAAGGAAACGGTAAGGACACGCTCCTCTCGGGCCTGCACCATGCTCTGCCCTGCAAGCACGTGGCCCCCAGCCAGGCAATGCCTGCCACTTCCCTGCTGAGGCCCTTTCTGTGGCTTTCCACTGTATCCAGACAGAAACCCAAGCTTCCCCCAGGACCTACAGCCCTGCAAGGACGGGCTCTTCACAGCTCTCCCTGCTGTTCCCCACTCATTGGCCCCATGCCTCAGGCCTCCCATTCTCGTCCCAGGCTCCTCAGCCCCATGCTGAGGCTGCAGGACACTGGGATGTGCACTCTGCCTGGACTGAGAGGTGTGGGCCTCTGGAGAGGCTGCCCTTCCTGCTGTCCTAGCACAGAGCGTCTGGCCAGGCCGCAGAGGGCTTCACTTCCACAGCGAGGCTCCCTGCTGGTGTTTGCGCTGGCCTTGGTCCCCAGCAGCTCAGCAGGTCCCCCTTCAGCCTTCACGGGTAGGTGCACCAGAAAGAACTAACTCTGTCTGAATAACTTGCCAGTGCCTATCTGAGTCCCATGCCCAGCCCTCACCCGGCCCTCAGTGGAGAAAGGAAAAGCAGGGCACAGCGATAGCAGCTATCTGGGGCTTGGATCTCCCTCCTGCTGCGTCCGGTACCCACAGTGCCTGATCGTACCCTGATCCTTCTCAGGGTATGGGGTTCTTTGTCTCTCCTACATTCCTCCCCCCCACCTCCCCTCTCCTTCTTTTGTGGTGCTAGTGGGCACACTAAGGCTCTATCCCCAGTCCTTTTTATTTACTTACTGTATTTTTTAATTTTGAGACAGGGTCTGGCTAAATTACTCATTGACCCTAGACTTTGCACTGCTCCTTCCTCAGCCTCCCAGAGTGGTGTGTGCCGCATGCCCAGTGGACTGGGTTTCTGCCTCTGACATGGTCCGTGCTCCTCTCAGTGGTCTCAGGGGCCGGAGTGCTGAGGGTGGGGCCCGGGGCTTCCCTGGACCTGAAGCGTGTCTGCAGGCGCGGGCTGCTCCCAGCGCTTCCTCTGCGTCCTGCCTTCTGCGCAGCAGACGGCAGCTGGCTCGATGGTCTTGAGAAGCGCTATGCTCATCCCAGGCCCTGCACACACCCTTCCTGGCTTGTACCTGGAGAGGAGAGAGCAAGAGTGAGGACGTGGCTGAGCTCAGACCTTTTCTTAGACGGCCAGGGAGGGTTCTGTATTCAGTCATTTAAGGTGCGCTTTTAATCTAGCATTTAAGTGAGCTTTTGAGGTTCCCAGTTCCTGGGTGTGCAGTGAGATCTGGGTGGAGAAGCTCTTCCACGCTCAGCCGGGGGCCGCAGGGTGAGCCCTTGTGCTGGGGGTGAGCCCTGGCTCCACCGCACGCCACCAATAAATAAGTCGAGAACCCAGGAGAGAGTGAGTCTGCATTACTACTGTTCTTGACTCTGGCCAAAGCAACAGAGGCGCTGCCGTTTACAGATACCAGGAAGTTCGTTACCGGCAGCCAAGCTACCTCCTCAGGAGACACGCGGGCCACCTGCCGCGGGGCGGCAGCGCTGCCCAGCTTCCCGGCCTTCAGACGGGCGGTCTTCCCGTGTTGGGGCGCCGCTTTCATCCGCCGACTTCACTGGACGGTGCTCTTTGAGTAAAGGCTCACTTGTTATAGCTTCCTGATTATTTCATTGATTATTTCACCTTTTGCTAGAATATTATTCTTTAAAGTCGTAATTTTACAGCAAGGGCAGCAGGACTCTTTCAACTCGTGGATTCGTTAAATGCGAGTCTGCGGACTTGCGATGCGGTGAACTCCACCCTTCCCGTGTGTGCAGTTTACGCGTGTAGAAAAGTGCACCTCGCGCCTCACGCAGCTGCCACCTTCACGACGGGGACGCTTTTCACACTCTCAGCCCCAGTAACTGGTCTGACTTCCGGGCTTCTCTTCTGCAAGATGCCAGAGGGTGCTTGCTTTACCTTCACCCAATTCTCGGTTTTACTGTCACTTCCCGTGGGCGCCTGCTGCGAGCGTTCCACGGCAGACCGGTTTCTTTCCAGCGCTTTCCTCGCGGAAGCAGACCGGGCGAGGACGGAGCCTTCCTCCAAGTGACTCAGGGCCTCCTCTCCATGTGCTCATGCAAACCAGGGACACAAAGACGCCGCCTGCAGGCTGGAGTGGGTGACCTCAGCCCTGGCAGGCAGCAGACGGTGGGGAGGGCACGGCGGGGTGGGG